TCCCCGGCGGAACGCAGCACCGCGTGCTTCTCACCTGGCACCGTCTGCCCCAAGAGCAAGGCTGCAGAGAAAAAACCAGTCCCGTGCTCTGTGCCCCGCAGCACATTTTGGTTTGTGTAAACACAGGGAATGAGAAAAGTCATTCATTTGCAAAACCAGTTGTATTTCTTGACTTCCAAATCCGTCTCCAAGTTGCCAAGTTTTGTTTTTTTTTTTATTTCTCTGCTTTGCAACTGCCGGAGCCTTGACAACCCCAGCTTTATGCACGGCTTTCCTTAGACTGTACAACGTCTCAGTGTTCACAGTGTTAGGAGAAAGGCGCTCTTTTCCCAAACGCATTTATCAAATATGGATTTCGTGCGTGCACCCAGCGGCAGCGGGCAGATAACAGAACCGAGGTGCAGCCCACACGTGCCACGGGCATTTTGTGCAGCCGTACCTCTAACTTCGGGAAAAAACGCACGCAGCTCCAGCTCAAGCCATGGTACTCCACAGAATCGCTACGAGAGAAATATTAAGGGAAAAAGAAAAAGCTCTCCTCTCGGATCTCCATTTGTTTTGATGCAGGCACTGAGGAGCGCCCTGTCTGCAGGCTGCACTCACTTCGCAACCCTTCTACGAACAAGGCCTCCACAAAGCGACCCAGGGGGAAATCCCAAGGCAGACAGAGGGGTTCCGCGCCTTCTCCCTCCGCTCACCGCCTCGGGGCCGCGGCGCGATGCTGAGGGCGGGCGTGCTTCCCTTCCCCGGCGCCTCGCAGACAAAGAGCGGAGCGCGGCGGCGGGAAGGGGAGCGCCGACCCCGGGGCACGTTCCCGCTCCCGGCCGCGGGCGGCCGAAGAGACGCCTTCCCCGCGCCTCGCGGGGACAAAGAAGGGCTGAGAGCCTCGGGGCCCGGCCGCCGCTCTTCGCCCCCAGCCCACGGCGGCCCCGCGCCGGGCGGAGAGAGGGGAAGGGGCGCGGGCGGCCTCAAGGTGACACCCGGCGACGCCGGCCGGCCTCCCGCGCTCCTCTCACCTGGCACCTGCAGACGATGTCGGCGTCCTGCGCCAGCAGATCCACCACCTTGCCCTTGCCCTCGTCGCCCCACTGGGCGCCCAGCACGACGGTCACCTTGTTGCCGGGGAGGCGGGCCGCGCACCCGCCATTGGGGATGGCGGGCGCCGGGGCGCCGTGCTCCGCCATGGCTCGCGCTGCCCGCTCCGGCGCCGCTCCAGGCACATGCGGCAGCGCGCGGCGGCCCCGCTGCCCCCGCCTCCTCCCGGCCGGGCGGGGATGCCGCATCCAGGTGGTGGTGCCGCCCACCGGCACCGCCCGCCCTGCCGAGCCGCCTCCGGCAGCGACCCGCCCCGCTGCCGCTACCGGCGCTCTGGGCGCCTTCTTCGCCCTTGCGCCGATCTCCCGCGCCCCGCGGCGCGGACTACGCTACCCATCGCGCCCCGCGGTCCCCGCCCGGCGGCCTGCCGCGCGGAGCTGGGCGCGGTGCACGCTGGGGCGCGTGGTTCCCGCGAGCGGCACCTGAAACTGGAAACAGTTGGTCAGCGGCCGCCCCAGGCGCCACCGCGGCGGCGCGAGTCAGCGGCCGTTAGTGACAGGGTGGGGAGTGATGGTGCTGCTGCGGGCGTTGTTCCTGCTGCTCCTGCTGCGGCCGGAGACAGACTGCGCCCTGTGGAGGTGGAAGGAGGGGGCAGGGGCGCCAAGTGGGGCTGTGGGGCGGGAGGAGACCCTGAGCGCGGCTCGGGGTTACACGGGATCTGGTGCCGAGGGTCCTCTTTCTGACTCCCCAGCACGCAGCAGCCCGTGGCTGAGGTGCTACAGGTGTGCTTGCGCGTCCCCAGATCCACAGAAATGAGCGTTTCTAGAACACGGGGTGAACGTGAGAAGCCATTTTCTCCAGAGGGGTCAGAACATGGCCCTAAGCTTACTCATGAGGAAGAACAATAATGGAAAAAACCCATCTCAGAGAAATGCCTTCCTCGTGCATACTTGAGGCTTTAGAAGTGGAACTAGTGTCTCAGGGGCTTTCATTCTTTCCTACTTCACAGAATCAACACGCCTAGGGGAAAGAATTTTTTTGAAAGCAGCTATTAAAAAGGCATAAGTCTAAATGATGTAATTACTGCTCAGACGGCTACTCAGAAACATGAGTCACTGAGCAGGCGCTGGCAGTCTGCAGCTATCGGGCAGGTCATGGAGTTATGTTGGGTTTTAGTTGCATCTGTGTTCCTTCAGGTTCACTCCCTTCAACAACCTTCAACAACTGCAGGAGCTATAAAATTCACCAGAGAGAAGGTTAACCAGTTAAGGGTAGAAAGATTTATAATAAAATCTATGTAGGGCAAGGAGAAACAGCCACAAACTGAAGTGTAGGAAGTTCCACACCAATGTGTGTAAGAACTTCTTCACAGTAAAGGTGACAAAGCAGTAGAACAGGCTGCCCAGAGGTTTTGTGGAGTCTCCTCTGGAGATATTCAAGACTCACCTACCTGTGCAGTCTGCTGTAGGGAACCTGCTTTGGCAGGGGGTTGGACTAGAGGTCCCTGCCAGCCATACAATTCTGTGGTTCCATGGTTCTGTGATAGTTGGCTGAGTGCTGTGGAAAGATGAGCAATTGCAGGTGATATGAGACAATTGTATGTATGCACTTTAAAGAGTAAATGAGCTCCTAACTCTTGATACTGCGCACTGTATTAATATTTTTGGCTGCTAAAAACCATAGCAATGGTGTTCCACTGGACAGAGCCTTGGGGAAGTTAGTAAGAAGCACGAGGAGCTGCTGAAGTCTGTCTCACCCATTTTGCTGATGCAATGGAAAACTTGGTTCTAGTGCAGTCACTTTGAAATAAACTGTACACTGTCTCATGACTCCCCAAAACATGGTCCTGATTTAGGATATGATTTTCCAGTTTAGCTGAAAGATACTAATGCTAAACCATTGCCAGCACAAATATTCTCTTGAAACTCAAAATATATTTGAGTCTTCATGGATAGTGTTCTGATAACATGGTATTAGTGCATTGCTACTTTCCAAAGAGGTACTAGGCGCACATTGTCATTCTGCTGCTATTTTTATTCATTACAGACGAGTTTTGAAATTATATTTTGGTGTGATTTCTTGGTAGGGATAGAACTGCGGAAGAAAACTATGAACTCTTTACCTCCAGGAAAGATGTAAGTGTTTAATGAAGATTGAGGTAATCAATACTGATTGGTATGGTGAGGTTTAGAATTTTTAGTTAATATGTATCTGCCATCCCTCCCCCCACTCCTCCCTTTTCTTTGCAAACTAAAGGGAGTTTCACTCTAATAACACAAGAGATGCTAAATTATCTACACAATTCACTGTTTGTAGTGTAGTTATAAAAAACACTAACTCTTGACCAAAGCAGAAAAACAACAGGCATCTAATGCCCCTTGTCAAAAATAGGCATTTAGTTGTAGTATAAGGAGGAGTTTAGAATAATACTGTACAGAAGTACCCAATTGCACTAATTTTGTTTAATATGATCAAGAGAACCAGCAAGAGCTTGCAATGTTACAGTAGTTCTTTTTCTTCTAATATGGAGGGCATCTATTAACTTTTTTTCTAGTTCAGCAAGCCAAATCTGCTTTGTGTGAGCATTTTGAGGTGATACAAAGTTTACCTCCAAGGAGGGAATGAAGAAATGTGACTGCTTTTTCTGGAACTAACAAGCATGGTATTGACTTAGTAAAACTGACTGCACCCAGGGTAGAAACGTACACTGATAAAGTTTAGGTTTTATTGTCTTCTGAATTGCTCAATGTGTCTGCTTGGAGAAAGTTATAGTTAGGATAGATTTCACTGTAACTCAGGTACATTCAGGCTTTTGACTTTAGTCATTTTCTGCCTCTTGATAAACTTCAAGAGGCTCCAACAGGAACTTTTAATAAATAAACACAAACTGAGAGCAATGTGAGATAATTGTTGTATTTCATTCAGCTGAGTTGAAGATATAGATGGAAATGTTACAGATGTATGTTTTGAGTTATTCTAATGAATTCTAATCTCAACTATTCTGATTTTTTTAAAGGGTTATAGAACAATTTGCCTACATTGGCAAGAATTTAGCTAAGAACTTCAGTAGTTCAAACAATCAAGGGTGAACATGAATGTAAAAATCCAAGAATGTCTGATGGATTATTAGGTGTTGCTCAGCAGGGCTTATGGCTCACAGGGTGTTATTTCTTTGACCTTACTCATACTTATTAAACATGTTGAAAGACAACTGAAGGTTATGAATATTTCTTCTGATACTGTTTTTCCTCCTGTAAGTTTGATTTTTTTTTTGAAAGAATACAGATAGAAGAAATAAATAGACCACAGCAATGCAGATGTCAGAACACATGGCCCATGCTACAAGTTCTTTGTTAAAACTAGTTGTTTCTGCTCAGATATTTTGCACAGAGTAAAATACCTACACTGGAATAGCGGTTGTGGAAAAGTGATCTGTAGGTATCCTACAGAACTATGTGAAATGAGAAAATGTTGAAATTCATCACATTAAGTCATTGAAATATTTAATGAAAAACTAGTTAATTTTACTTCCTGTTCGTATATGGCATCTTTATCTAAGATATATTGTGGCTCACAAAAAAAATATATATATATGGGTTGATAGTGCCATAGTCCAGAAAAGCCTTAAGAATTACTGTACCAGACAATGTTGACATCTTTAGCACTTCAGACTCTCCAGGATGCTGTTACTTCATCTTCCAATTACTTTATAGAGACAAGAACCGATTATACAGGAAGGAAATATGTCATTTTATTTGAACATTGTGCTTGATGTAATGGATCCCTTCTTGTTTATTCCTGTTTTTAAATTAGTTATTCAGGTTAAACTTTCCCGTAAGTATTTTTGGTAAAATTCATTAGTCTTCTTGTCATGATAAAAACGAGATTAAGCACATTATAAAGTGATAGTTGTACACGTCATAATCAATAGATTATCACACAGCAATTGTTTCAACTCTGGTTAGATGGATCTAGAATATGAAGGAACTTTATTCACTGAGAGGGATTTTCGTGATACATGTGCTATTGAAGATAAAAGGTAAAGACTTCACAAATGAGAAACATCATCACAACAGCCGTACTTTGAGTTCAATGAGAGAATAGTTAAGATAATACAGTATGCTTTTTAAATTTTCAAACCACCTACTGTAAAGAGGTGTCTCTTTGTAAGCAAGTGCAAGTAAGGTAGCAACAGGCAAGACTAAAGGTTCTCATGAAAATAAAATACTTTGGGATTTGTTCTTTGAAAAGTTGCAAAGCTACATCCTTTGCTTGGAAATGAGATTTGTAAATTATGAATTGCAGAGACAGCTATTTAATGTAATAATACTAAGAAAAATGAGGAAAGAAATTTTAAGTGAGTTCCTCAGATCTATGTATTCCATTTTCCCTGAAAGCATGGCAAGTGAATTTGTCTTTACAGATGAGACGTGAGTTTTCATATGGATGACATTTTAATTTCAATATTTACCATAACAACTTAAATAGGAAAGTGGGAAAGTAGACGTATTAAATAGAAATCAGCTTCTACTACCATGTTCCCCCAGAATTTCACTGTTCTCAATCTCTGTCTTGGCCTCAGACATTAGAAGCTTAATAGAATGCCTCATGTGATAGATAGTTTGGGTCATTAACTTTCTGCAGTACGTCTGTACATTTCTTAGGAACCCAAATGTTGTGCAGTATTTGACTGAGAGTGATGTTAAATTGACAGAAAGCTTTTTCTTCTTCAAAGGTCTGGTTTTTTGTTAGAATTTTTCCCTTAAAATGGTCATTGCAAAAGTATCACCTTGAGGGGGGAACACAGTAGCTCCAAATTTACATCAGCTTTATCTGTTTGAAAACAGCAGCCTTTACCATCTCCTGGAAGTGCCTTAAGAACTGTGGGTGAGATCTACTACACCAACTATGATTGTATTTGGTTGTTAAATATAGGTTAGAATATGCATTTTTGTCTGTTTTAACCCAAACAACACTGAAGCGTCAGTTTTCTGGAACTTACCACATAAAACCAGAAGTAAAGACTGAGGTAAACTGCCAAAATAAGTTGTATAAAAATTGATTGCGGTCTCATTGTGTGCACAGTGATGGTTTGAATGCAGGTGTCTCTCACAGCACCCACAGTCTGTTGTGGAATGGAGTTCCTGAGCTGGATAAGCTGTTTACAAAATAACTCTGTCTTTAGGGTAAAGGTGCTGAAGGGGAGCTTCCAAGTAAGAATGGCGTTCATTATTACATTAACTAATGTAATAATGGTTCATTTGGTTGCAGGCTTTATCAGTGAGTTCTGAGATTTATGGTAGCCCCTATTATTTTATTAAAATATTAAACATGTTACACTCATCCCTTTGATGTCCATTTCCTCTTGTTACAGAGACCCGTGTGCTTACTGTATTTTCTCTGGTAAGGCAGCTGCTTATCATATAATCACAAAAAACCCCTCAACTATCTCAAAATAGCTTTTGTAATGACCATTGATTGTTTTTGTACACATTCTGCAGTATGACTGCAGCTAAAAATGGGGCAATTTTATGGATTTTAACCCTAAATGAGAGACCATTGTACATGTGTTATTTAATTTCTTATTGTGTCAAAAGTCTTCATTAATACAGGGAACTGGAATAATGGTGTTTCCTGCCTGTTAAATGGGATTGGCACAGATTACGTGGATATTGTCACAGATTTCCTTCATGTTTACCAACAAAACCCCCCCCTCGAGAATTGACTAATTAGGATTTTTTTGTTCAGTATTTTGTTAAGAACATAAGTGGTGGTTCTGAAGATGCTCATGTTGAATCCTGATTATGGTTACCTATCAGAAGAAACTGCAGAATCTTTTAAATGGATTCAGGAAATTTGTAGTATTTTGTTGCATCCATGTTCATGAATCCCAGCCTACATATGTGATCAGTGACAAAAGTTTTGGGACATTGAGTTCCTAAATAGTCTGACTGAATTCATTTGGGTTATTCATAAATCAAAGCCTTTTTCTGTAATTTCTGTAAGTATTAGAGTATTATATAGGCACATTTATTGCTATAAGTAAAACATAAGCCCACAGCAGTAGGAAGGCAGTGTATCAAAGCAGAACATCTCTCTCTCTCTCTTTTAGACCTTTGAGGATGAAGAGCAGTGTTTGCCTGATTCTGATCCTTCTAATTGTTTCACGTGCTATTCAACAGCAGCTTCAGAAATGGAAAGGTAGGTTTTTCTCTACAGGAATATTTTTGGAAATATATAATTATAGTCTTTACTAAAAATGATACATTTTTTAAAATGATCTGTTTGGAGAAATGAAAAACATCTCAGCTTGGAATTTGAATTTTGGATAATGTTATATATTAGTGCATATATATATATGTATGTGTATACATATATGTCAGATTCAGAACTTCTTTGTTTTTATATTGAATTAAAATTCATGGAAGGGGAAAAGGGAAAATTTTGTACTTGGTAGAGGCCTAAAAATGAAGGATACTGACAAATGGATTATATGCAATATTGTGGTACCATGCAGCCAGTCTTTGCCTGAGCTCAGTCTGTTTCAAGGCAATTACAGAAGTGTATAATCAATGGATATTAAGGTTTTACAATCACAAAATAAACAAGAGAGTTAGGCGAAGTAGATTATGATAACAAAAGAGAATAAATGGAAGGCTTACCTGTATGCTAGGGTCATCTACAAAAACACCAGAAGAGGGGATCTCCAGATGAGATCCTTCCCCACTGGTAGCCAGCTCTTAAATAGGTCTAGGAGGGGTGCAGCCAGGCTCCAGCCCTTCCAGCAGCACAGGTGAATTGCCTTCAGCTGTGCTCCTCTGGCTGACTCATGGCTCGCCTCAGGTGATCAATCAGAGGTTCAGGCTGTGACTCAGCAGTTCCCATACACAGAAGGCAGCTAACTAGCAATAGATTACAAAGAAAACTGGGGGATTAATTACCAAAAGATGCAGGCTTTGAAGGGCATATGCCTAAGAGGTCTTGAAGTTACAGTAAAAGCTCTCCTTTAGCGTAGAAAGTGGAGGTATTTTGCTTGTAGGGTCCAGAAATACGTATTTTGAAAGAAGCTAATTGTAGGAATAAATAGTATCTTGGATGCTATTGTGGGATTCCAGAGAAAGGAAGAAGGTGAGACAGTCTCTATGTGTATTTCTCATGCAGTTAAAGTAATGATTTTTGAATTTTAAAATGCAAACATGTCAGTCTGCCCCTTCTCATGTCCGTGAGGAACACTGTGCCAGAGCGAAGCTGCTGCTAAAAGCGTGTATTCAACCAGGAATTTAAAATATTAAATAGAAGTTGCCATTTGTGTGGAGGGAGAGTGCACTGCTGTTTGAGTGTGCCAGCAGATCAATTAAAAAAAAACAAGTAATGAAGCATGAGAGCACATGTTTTAATACAGTAAGTCCAAACAGGAATGTTGGTGGTTGTCAGGGTAGGAAAGCCTGCCAGAGATAGATTGCCTTATATTCCAAAGCCTTAAGAAAAAGAAAAGTCTGATTATCATCAAACTCTTGCAAAAGTTCCATAGAGATCCTGCATAACACCAGTAGTTTTTAGGCAATAATAATAACTCATATTTTGCTCCTTTCATCCACGGAGTTCGCCGATATTCGGCTTACTTTATTTATATAGGAGGAAGAAGTCTATAATGCTAGTCAGGAATATTGTAATGGCATATATTTGTTTATTAGATAAGTATACAAAGTCCTCTTTCTGTAAACATAGCAGTAGGTTTCTTTTTGGTATTTGAACCCCTCTGGTAACTCCTGTATAATATAAAGCATCGTATGGTTGCACTCAAAGCTGTTTTATCTGTTTATTTAAATAGAAAGCCACTAAGTTCTGTACTTGGATTATTTCCATCAATTCCAGAGCAAACTTCCCTGCATGCTTTCTCTTTTGATCCATGTTAATGTTGCTTGAGAATGTCTTTGCATTTCCCAGACATTACTGCAAAAGAGAGCACCCTGTTGCTTTTTCTGCTTTCTTTTGCTGAAGGGAATGCACTCAGTATATTTACAAAACAAACACTAAACATGATCGACATGAAGTCAAAGAGCCATGGCAGCAATGTCTCTCGTCCTGAAAGAACTGTACATCACACTTCTTTCTGCTCTTACACATCAGTCACACTAGTTGAAGTTACGTGTGTCTGCACCTGAAAATTGCAAATTTAGTTTTGAACTCGCATGAAAATTTTTTTCATTGAATTTGAATATAATTGCTAATTTCTTAATATTTTATTCAAATGCTGATGAAAACACATTTCTGTGTTACGTTTTTCTGCTTAAATTGTTGAAAGAATGATTGACCACCTTTTGTGAAAGCAGTTGATGTTTTTGCAGTGACTTTGTGGGAGTTAGCATTTCATCCAGGATGTTTAGTGAAGTTTGATGTAATGCAATCCTAATGTATGGCTGACATCAGATATCTAACAGTTTCCCCAGCTCTCCCACTCAAGTTGCAGCCCATGAATTTTCCCCGTTCCAGCCGCAGCACAAGTGCAGGACGCATAGAGGTCCTGTTTCCAACATGACCAGTGCTCTGTTCCCTGTCATGTCACTGCAAAGAGGGACAGGAAAGGGAAATTGTTCTCCCAATCCACTGCACAATGCTCAGTCTCCATAGCTCTGATACAGCAGGCATCCTTCCTTCCAATCTGATCTTTTTAATCTGGTAACTTTAAATTAGATGAACTATAGCAGAAGACATGCTTTCTTTAAGCAGTGCATATTTTTGGTAAGAGGGAAACCACGTTATAAAAAAGCCTGTGAATGATGCTCAGAGTATATTTTTAAATGAGAACCACCAGCAAATATAGATATCTGTCTTTAAACGTTTATGCAATGGAACAGCCAATGCCATAATGCTGAACACATTGTATTATAACGTTGTAGACAATGTACACACCTGAAACAAGCAGATTGATTTAAATTGTATAATGTATGTACAACTTGTATGTATATATATATATTATATAGTTTTATTCAATAGAAAGTTTCTTAATAATATTGTATTTTTTATTGTTTTTGTAGTGCAGATTGTAGTGCAGAGAAGCAACTCTTCTTAAATGAGCACCAGGTGAATTTAATTTTGAATGCATTCTTTGACCTCATATTTGTATCTAGATCTTTAACTGTTTTCATTTTTTATGAAATACAATTTTGACACAAACTCATGCTTACTACTGGCAGACTGGCCAACCTACTGTACTCTTTGAACTTGTGTGTTTACTTGAGATTTTTAAAATGTGTCCCTTTCAGTGAATATGATGAAACGTGCCATTGGTATGGTAATTTAATATCTGGTTTATAAAATGCCTTATTTCATAACATCTGCAAATTTAATATAAGGAGATTACAAGATAAATTATTTCCTACCTCTCCCCCTTTTTGTTTGAGATTGGGATCATTTAAGGAAACATGGAAACTTTTCTTATAAACATGTCCATGCTAACAAAGTGAATTGAGATAACTGTTCTATGAATGGTTTGCAGCCTGCTAGAAATGGTGGAAGCTCACAAGTGTGGAAGCAAGCTTAAATTCTGTTCGAGTTCTATTCACCCACCTCTGAGAAAGCAGCTGTAGGATTCCTCAGTTTGCACTGTTCTAAGGACAGATTGTACAACTTGGCATTTTGATCTGAGTAGATGAACAGCAAACTGCAGCGCATGAACTGTGTGCTGCAAACTTACAGCATGTCTGCTGTTTCATAGCTGCCTCCGTGCACATCCTTACACTGCTCTACTTTGTGGTAAATGGGGGGAGAGCGCCTCACAGAATGATCCTTGTCTTTGCATGTACCTGGGAATTCCAGGTGCTTGCCTTCTGCCTGACTGAAAGAGCAGTGCGTCACCTCCGTGTCGGTCATGGAAGCGTCATTTTAGTAGCAGTTTTGCAATGTTTCTTTGACAAGAAGGAAATTCTGTTTTGTTTTAATAGTGAGTAACCTCTCTTCCACTGCTGCAGCAGAACGGGCTGTATATAACTGTGCCACCCATGAGAAAGGCTTCTGAGGGAAACATGAAGGCCTCAGGGGAGAAAAATATCCTCTGCATGAATTTTGCTCTTCCCCCTTTATTTCTGAGAAAATGTGTGCTGTTTCCCTCAGTAGCTGTTGCCCATTGACATCAATAAGAAACAAGATGTACAAGATTAGTCTGCAGGATCAGCGTTGCTTAAGTTGATGTTGTTGCTGTGTTGTTTTATGTGCTGTCAGAAGAAAAAATGTTGTCACATTGATAGATTTTTAATATATATTTCAAAACATATTAACTCTTGTCTCTCTTATACTTACAAGTTAATTTTGTGGATATATGATCCCGAAAGTGCAGATGCCTCTGAGTTGAATCACACTGCAGTTTTTCCATCAGAAGTAAGTTGAAATTATGCCACTTTAGAAAAAAGTGAAAATGTATGTCTTGTGAAAATTTACCAGCTGAAAGTGGAAATGTCTTGCTGAAATATTGTATCTGCATACATCTTTACTTCCTTTTACTGTTAGGAAAAGTACATCTGCAAGATTTTCTCTACAGTTAATACTGCAGCAGTGACACAGGTGTGGAATGAGGTGAAACCTATTGTCTGTTTCATAGATAGAAGAGTTAGCAGGTTTTAGTGATGCAGTCACATTTAAGTCTTATTGAAAATGGTACTGAAGTTGTTGTAAGTGATAATATCATGTAACATTTAAGTCTCTTCTTCAGATTCCCTGTATCCCAAACTGTTGGAAAATAAGTTAAAAGCATTATGGAAGTCATGAAATGTGATAAATGGTGTTGTCAACTCACTGATTTAATTCACACCTAAAATGTAACAAGATATTGTATGGGCTGATCTACATAGATAGATCTCTAGACTGGATTAGGTATTTACTAACGAGGTTATCCAACATGGATTAGTTATAGGGATGAATATTTACAGTAATTTTTGTTAGGACTGGCTTTCTGATCAAAATAAATGGCAGAAAGTATTCAATTTTGGTGTGGTATCTGACACAGAGTAAGCATGCATGGCACCACAAGTTGTTTATTTATTTTAAGTTGTCATCATTAGATCTTGATTTTTTCACATTTGTTTCATATTTGTTTCATATTTGACATTACTCTCTCGCAGAATAAAAAAGAAGAAAAAAATAGCAATACTAATTGCATTCTGAAGGCATCTTTGTTATTAGATAACTAGATGTTAAGAAAGTGTTTTTTGTTCTCTGATGTGACAAAAAAACCCACAAATAACAGAATTATATTCTGAGTGTAATATATGCTAAAATGGATTGACTAAATATGGTTTTAGTGGTATGCCATTGTTTGAAAATATATTTTATAATAGAAGAGCTGATTCCAACGTAAGGATTTCTAAAAAGAAAAGATTGTCGTAAACAACCTTATCCTAATTGGACAAAAACAGATGATTAATAAAAATGTTTGTTCTACTTACACAGAGTTCTCAGATACTCAGCAAGATGTTACAGATTTGGGGACAGAAACCTGTTGTTCAGACCTATTTCAAGCAAAAAACATACCACTGTCAGAGGCTTCCAAAATCCGGGTATGGTAATTTATTTATGGTGCTTTTTGTTTTTTAATTGAATGTTCTATAAAATTGTTACATTTATGGCTCTGTAGACAGTTGTTAATGAGTAAGTGTAGAGAGGGCGATGAATAAAGTAATTTGGTCATTTTTCTTCTAATTTTCTTTACCTACACTGTAGAAAGTGTTCTTGGAAGCATATCAGTGTGTCCATTATTTCAGCCATATGTAGTCAACAGACATGTCATCAAAAATGAAGTATGAGGGACACAGTGCCCAAAGAACTTCAGAATTTCTTTGTAACAGTTTTGCTACACTGAAAAAGAAGGATAATTGAAGGAAAAAAGCAAATGCATGCAAGCTAGAAATTACCAGTCCTGAACTAGTGGTATCAGTCTTGTGAATTTGAGTACTTTAGGGAATAGCTTGTTCTCTGCAAGAAGATGTAATTCTTGTTTTCATGGTTACTTCTGTGGATTGATAACAAGTTTTAAAAAACTTCCAGATTTGGAGAAACTTTTAGGTACCTGGCTTTAAAAACCCAGGGAGTCCAATAACAGTTTTCAGAGCAACGAGATGTGACTCCTCAAAATACAAAATATGGCTGTGGCCATGTCTGGACCTCTTCTTTGTGCAGTGGGATAACTTTGTGCTTCAGTAATAATTTTGCTCTTTTTGCTTTTCTTTGAAGACAGCTTGTCATGTTAAGCAGGTTTATCTGCCCTTTGTTTCATTCACCATAGTACTTAAATTTACATAAGCATGCAGTTCAGTGCCAAAAAAACTCTCTGCATATAATTGTTCTACTTTGTATGTACAGAAGCCCAAGGAGTAGAAAGCATGACTAGACTCCACAATCACCTAAAGTTTTTACTGTAACAAATGGTTGCTGAGTCTTAATTATCAAGCTGTAGATACCAGCTTGAAGCTCAATGTCCCCCCATTCAGTCATGCCATTCGTGGAACTTTAGAACCTATGTGAGCTATTGTGTCAAGCATTTCTTTTTCATTTGGGAAAAAAAAAATACTGGCCAGCTGTTATTCACCCTCCTCTAGGCTTCTAAGTTTGGGATTTGCACATTTTTACCTCACGTGACACAAAAAGAAGGTAGCTCAGGTAGAATGTCATTCAGGGTCAACTAAACTGCTTCCAGTATCTCTGCTGGCTTGTTGTCCTAATTTTGCTCTCATAGAGTTATTTTTCTTGATAGTAGCTGGTGGGGTGTTGTGTTTTGGATTTAGGATGCAAGCAGTCTTGATAGCGCCAATGTTTTAGTTGTTACTGAGCAGTGCTTGTGCTGAGTCAAGGACTTTTCAGCTCCTCATAATTTTCATACTTCTCATACTGCTCTGCCAGCAAGGATGCTGGGGGGCACAAGAAGTTGGGAAAGGTCAGAACCAGGACTGCTGACCCAAACTGGCCAAAGAGACTTTCCATACCATATAGCACCATGCTGAATCATGAAAGTGAGGAGAGTTCACTGGGAGGGGCGTCTGCTCAAGGACTGGCTGGGCATCAGTTGGCTGGTGGTGAGCGATTGCACTTTGCATCACTTGTTTTTTTATTCTTTATTTATTCTTTTCTTCTTCTTGTTGTTTTTTCCCCTCTTCCTTATCAAATTGTCCTTATCTCAACCCATGAGCTGACAAGTTGAACACCTCTCACATGAGCGGGAGTTTCTGCTGTGGGACAAAGAGTGAGCAAATGGTTGAGTTGTGCTTAGCTGCCTACCAGGTTAAACCACAGCACTTCTTCAGGTTTGAGTCCTGGTATTTGTGCAAAACATCTTTGACATCTTTTATCTTTCTTTCACCTGTTTGCTTAAGATTTTGTCATTTTCTGTGAGTCTTCCAGCAAAAACCAATACTTAAATATACTCTTCTGATCGGTAGTAGGGCAGTAGTTCTAAATATTTGTGATAAAATAATAACCAAAGTATTTATACTCCTTTTAAAGCTTGTTTACTTTACAGTGTGTTTGCATGTGCTGTATAGGAGATAGGATAGCAAGAAAGTGCCTGGAGGTGAGGGAAATCTGAAGGGGACACAGGTGCTTCTTTATACTACAGCATCCACCAGCAGGTGACGTTTGTTGGAGTTTCTTACGAAGGCTATATAGGATTCCAAAGGATTATTATGTATCTTTCATTACACAGGCAACTATGTCAGTTTAATTGGAAATAAAGAAATTACGGTAAGACTTCGAGTATGGACACTGACAAAAAGGCAATTAATGTATCTGATAATTTACATTTGAAAAGTTTCCTGAGGCAATGCCATCTGCTTCTATTCCTATCTTTTCTGTGCTGGAGCCCTTGATGAAAGACGTCTGCACAGGTTGGTTTTTTTTTTCCAGTAGTTTAGAAGAATAAATCTAATATGAGGCCTCTCCTACTGTCAGTTGCTCTACTTTTAGCACTATTTACTGCATTTTAGGACAAATACTTTTTTCTTTCCACAAGTATGTACTATTCACCATACGTTCCAACGTGCTGTGAAAAAAAAAATCAGCAGTGAGAAAAAAAGTCACAGTTTGATTGTGAGTTCATAAGAAAATAGATCAAGCCAGTAAATGACAGTCATATGAAAGTATAAGGACTATTATTTCACAAAGGTATTTGTCACCTGTTTTATTATCTGTAAAATTTTAACCTACATAGACCTCCAGTGAAGCTAATCCAAATATATCAGCTAAATTTTTGCACAAGATAATGAAAATTACTCTGGGTTTACATTTTACAAAGGATTCTCAACTGCAGACATTTCCTGCGACTGTATTTGCCATCTGTCTTTTATTTACTCCTGTTTTACTCTCTGAACACATTATAACACGCTCGCTACTATTTTGTGACTGTACTTTCTATTTATTGAAGAATTGACTCTCAGCATATAACGAATGCTGGGTATGATACTGCAAGAAGCGAGTATGGTTTTAACAGGGGTGTTTTAAATACTTGTTAGGTAGGTTTGGTTCAGGCATCTTCATCAGTTGTATCTAACTGTGTAATCGCTAGATGGCAACATAGCAACACTCCGTGTCAAAAGCTGCTGTAATCAGAGATGGGCTTTTTTCTGTAACATTTTTCACAGCAGAACTAAACTAATCCTCCCCTGCCCCACCTCGTGAAGTGGGAACACAACATTCTGGCCATTTCAGTAGACTGTTTCTTATTTATATGAGTTCTGGTATTCTTTTTTGTCTTTTTGACTATTCCTTTTTTAAAGAACTGAAGTGCAGAATAATCAAGGAAGAGAAAATAAAATTGCTTTATAATTTATTTTAACAGTGAGTCTATTGATTCACCGAAATCTTCTCATACACACTTGGATATTTTGCAGCAACTTTTTTTATTGAAGCCAGCGGCATTCATATCAACAAGAACAGAATTTGGATCATTTTGTTCTTTTCCAATATTTAATTTACTGCCATAAGTCCAAAAGTTGATGCATCTGTTAGCAGAAAAACACATCTGAGGTGTAATAACAAGTGTCCCGTAATCCAGCATCATTGTTGAGACCACAGGGCCAGCAGACTAATTCAAATTCTAGTCAGACTGGTCAAGATGGTTACCACTGTCTGAAATTTCAGACTAAGAGAGAAGAAGAAGCAAAACCAATCTCAACTGATCTGCCAGCTTCTTTTACTTTTGGGGCCTTGGACAGACTCGCAGTTTCATTAAAATTTTGCTAAAAATTTGCTGTCTCCTCTGAAGGTCAGCAGCATCTTAGGAAATCCAGACAGTCTGCAAGTATAGGAAAAGTGTCCTCTATCACATTTTCTTCAGAAGCCAAAGTTACAAAGCTTATATTCCTCCTAGATCTCCTTTATACTGAACTGATTTTTTGTTTCTGTTCTAAGTTTGTATCAGCCTTGCTGTATCCTGATGTATTGAAATAGAACTACTTGGGCCTTAATTTTGAAGAAGTAACCTTCTTCAGGGATGTTGACTCTTGCATCCATCAGATCTGTTATTACGCCGTGTACTGCAGAAACTGGACATATTATTATAGACTATTTCTGTTATGCATGGTTTTCTCTTATTGCTTATCAACACAATCCTTGCTGGAACATCAGTGGCTCCAGTCATCAACTGCAGTGTGGTTTCACATTAGCTCCTGTTAGTCTGTTTTCTTCTGTGTATTGCAGGTGGCTCAATGGGGGCTACGGGAAAGGTGGGGGAGAAGTTCTCTCAGTAGCAGGGAAAGCTGTATTACTCACTGAAGCTATAATAATGTTACAACCATTCATTTTTAACTTCAGATACTCAATTCTTAGTGAGGTATATGTATGAAAGCATATACAGAAAGTTCTCAGAGATCACTGAGCTATAGAATATGCCTGCTTAGAAATTACAGGCAGTTTTTTAATCTTTTTCTCCCAGTTTTGATTTCATTATCTACTTTCTGGAAATTAGAAAAGGCTTAAGAAATAATTCTGTACCACTGTTGGTGCAGTTCTTCTAAGAATATGACTTTACTTACATACCTCAATTTCCGTCAGTCAGTCCAACAGTAAGATTTCATCTTTCAAATTTACCTTTTTGTTTCTTTCATTTTCAGATTATGGGTAGCTGATATACCTGAAATACCTGATGACATCATCATAAAAATAACTGGAGTATTTCAGGAGTGCTTTGTTCAAAGAACTTCTTTTGTAGTCCCAAGGCCCAAACAGTCATTTCCTAGCAAGGAAAATGACATCTCACTCTGTTCCCTTCAGAGTAGTGAACTCCCTATTAAATGGTCTGCATGTTTTCCAACAGCAGCAGTTTTGTTATCAAATTTTGGAACTTTTTATACGAATGATGCATTCAGGACACACATAGAAATTAAAGTTCTCTCAGATATTTTGACCAAAGGCCTAAATAGCAATATAACTGTTGTGGCTCTGTCAGATAATGGAATCTCATTTTTAATAAACAGCACTTGTTATAAAAGAGAAGCCAGACATGTTTTTAAAGTTGGAGCAGAACACAAGCTTCCTGAGAGTGAAATACTTCGAATGCATTCAAGATATTGGAGTTCATCTGTTTATCCAGTGCAGGTGAGTTATTCGCAGTTCTCATTTGACATTTAAGATATGGATGGTCTTCATTAAATGTCTGGATACATCTATTTTAGATCTCTTTTAAATCGTTCTTAGGCTAGGGTGAGAATTAGAAATCACCAGACAGCAACAAATTTATTTAAAGACATTCTGAAATAGGGTCCATGCTCTCTGGCTCTGTGTGAGCTCATGCAGCCGTTTGACATTGTTTCTAGACTCATGGCTTAAATTTGTAAATTGACTTCAATGCAGCTTTGGCAGTTACATTAGTTGAAAATGTTTCCCAGAACATCTTGATTTCTTAGCGTACGTACCTGATATGAACTTTATGAGAAGATAGTGTTTACATAATCATTGTGTTCGTTTTTTTTTTTAACAGAGTGGAAAACAATTAAGTACTTGGGCAGCAGGGATGTCTACTGAGCTGTATGTTGGATACAATGAAGCATTTAATAAAATAGCAGATACTGCAAGCTTAGTGAAGATCGTCAGTTTTCCAAACACTGCTTCTTTAACTGTAACAACTGTTAGCTGGGACTCAGTCCCATGCGAAGTGACAATGTCACTTATTTGCAATGCCTGCAGCTCCTCCAGACTATTTTTTCTGGCATTTTATAATGAAGGCAGACAACTTTGGGGCTTAGGAGATTTTTGCTTACCTGTTCCTCACAGTTCTGCTATGAGGATGATATACATAAATTCAGCATTATCTTCTGGACTGCTGTGGGATGATGTGTTTGCTACACCTGTAAAAACAGCACGGATAATGGATATCTTCATGTGTCTGGATCAACACTACCAGAAATGTCTGATGGGAGCACTATCCACCAGATTATTCTCGGTTAAGTATATTTTATTTTAAGTAGTTATTAACTTTCTTTTTTAGTAAGTGGTAAATAAATGTAAAGTAAGAGACCATTGAAGCTATCTTGTAAATGACAATACAAGAATATCTATTCAATTAATTGGTCTGTTAAGACTGAAACATTAATTTTTGATGGAAAGACGCACCAAGAAAGTATTTAGCAAACTGTTACTTGGATACAATTAACTTGCACTCCTATCAGCATGATTCTAACCTGCACCCCTCTACTCAGTGTGTTTCTAACAAGAAAACTGAGGCTTTCATCCTTAGTATTTGTTACAGGAAGATAATTTTATTTGGTTTTACCAATTGCATTTGACTAACAATGTGAGAACTAATTTTTCCCAAGAGAAAAATAGGCATGGCAATAATATGTTTTTCAGTACATCAAAGAATTTCTGATGTTTTAAGGCATTCATTTTCAGATTATAATCACAGCATCATTGAGAAGGAAATGCTTAAGCAGTAGAAACAGACATGTGGCCTGGGAAGAATAGAAGGATGCTGTCCAGATGTGCAAAGGTGGGATCAGGAAAGCCAAGGCACAGCTGGAACTGAGCTTGGCAAGGGATGTAAAAAATAACAAGAAGGAATTCTATAGAAACATTGGTTAGAAGAGACAGGCAAAGGAGAGTGTATCCCCATTAGTTAACGAGAAGAGAGGTAACAACCGACATGCAGAAAGCTGAGATACTCAATGAGTTTTTTGCCTCAGTCTTCACTGGCAGTCAGGCTTCCCATGTCTCTCGCATCTCTGAACTGCTAGACAGGAGCTGGGGGAGTAAAATCCCTCCAACTGAAGGTACCATACAAAGTCATACTGATGGTTCCATGAGAGGAGGTCAAGTGTTTTTACTGAAGCAGCTTTCACAGTGATCACTTCTAAAGAGAGAGCCTGCATTCGTAAGCATGCTTATGCTGACTTTGGTGGCTGCAAGGCTGCTTCTCCCACATTTCCTCACCCCTCTCTCACAGCTGCTGTGGCACAGTATCTTTTGTTTTCTTAGATCTGCCCTCCCAGAATCGCCACCAGCAGTGCACAGTGGCTCACCTCTGGCCATCGGTGGGTCCTTTTAGGCACCACTGGAACTGTCTTTTGTCAAACGTGGGGCAGCTTCTGGGTTCTTCTCACATAGGCTATCCTTGCAGCCTCCTGCTATCAAAACCCCGCCACATATGCCTGTTACATCCATACATCTCAAAAGTGTCTCTCTCCTGCTTAAGTAACCTGCTAGTTTGGATGTGTATACCATAATCACAGTGTGTTGTGAAGTAACTGCTGTTTCTCAAGAATTTAAGTCCTTCCCTCACCCTGTACAAGCTCACTGTCTCCCAACTGGCTACCTCAGAAATAAAGCTGTAACTGAGGCTCAACCACTAGTATGAAAACACCAACCTATGCACTATTGTTCTGGCTAAACTCAGGAAAGGTCATTAACTGAAGAGCTGTGGAATGGCAAAAGTAATTGCTGTAGAGGAAGAAGATCTGATGAGAGAAGGCTGGAGGCAGAATCAGCTGCCATTGCTTGTTGTTCACGACACACACCTCATGCTTCCCCTAAATACAGCTCTGTGGTCATCACTGAGGAGAGAGAGTGAATGGTCTGTTTCCAGCTCTGTCTCAGTGCCATGATGTATATCCTCACAACCTCCTTTGAAACGGATTTGGATTCATTTCCCATGATGTCATAGACATCACTTCTTTCCTCTAATCTATGTGAGAATGGCTGGCCATAAAGTGCAGACTAGGTTTGAAAATGTTGAAGGAAATTTTTTGCAGTATTCTTAGGTGGCACTTGCTTCCCTGTGCTGTGCCTATGAAGAAGGAACAGTTGAGGATTTAGGCAGCTTTGTAATTCTACTGTCCGTTGACCATGGCTCCTTGCTGTTCCTTTCTTTCGTTTGCCTTCCTATCCTTGTCTTACAGCTCTCCCACCTGTTCTCATAGAATTCTCATCCATACTTGCTGGATTTCTTTCCCATGAGAGGTTGAGAGTGAAGAGGTAACCATAGTGGCTGAGTGCTGGAGCGTGTGAACTAATGACTGATTAGAAAAAAAAACTTTTTTTTTTAGAGCTGACTACAGTGGAATAGGATTGGCATTCAAGTAGAGGTGACCAGATAGCTACTATGTATACGGTCAGGACCTCTTGAAGACAGCAAATCATAAGTGTCTGTGTGCAGAATCAAGAAGGCAGGAAATGCGAATGAGGATGCTGGGTTGTGCAGTCCTTGAAAACACACTGCAGGCATGACAGTGCCTCAGATGTTTCAGGGAGGAACTGCATTGCTTAGGCTGAGAATAGACTTGTGGGTACCTTTTACAGAAGAACATGAAGAATGTAGAGGTTCAAGGCTTATTTTTTTGTGCCAGGGAATTTTTCTTAATTATGTGATGGCTCCTGGTTTGTGCATGTAGCCCATAGTTTAGATACCTATTTTAGAGTAGGTGATTCCCAGATATACTGTTTGGGCAAGTCAGAACCACACAGAGAGGGAAAAGATTGTCTGTCACCTGTCGTTGGCACTGTGGAGAAGCCATAAAAACAAATTACAGAAGTAGAACTGGACATTTTTTCAGATTCCCCTGGTATCCTGAAGATATCCTTTGTCTCTCTAAAAGCACCGCTGTGGTCAAAAGATTTTTACTAATTATTTTTCTTTATTCTTTTATAGGAATTTACATTTTCTCATCAAACTGACAATATTTTAGAATCCAATTATACACAGGCATTGTGAGTATCAGAAAATGTATATAGTAGATGTAAATTTGATAGTGTAGTTTTGATAAGTAGGAATTAAAAGCACATCAGGACTTCACTAGCTAATGTGACCATTATTATATAAATAATAATGTTAATATTGCTAATGGGCAGATACTGATGCTTGCTTATATACCTCAGGGAGGGGTATATGCAGCCTACTTGGAAAAACCGTGTCCATCTAATACATAGATTCATTCTTTTTTTTTTAATGCTGATACTGATAGGGTTTTCAGCATTTATATATTCGTGGGTGAAGGTTCAGCTGTTAAACAAACTTGTATCCCTAGGTTATATTCACATAAGAGGATCTTGGGTTGGAAACCAGTCCTTACTTTCTTATGCTCATTTTTGTTTTGGATTTGCATACAGGTTTATTCCAATCTCTCCATCTCTAAAAGTGTTGACACTCAAGTTACTGAAGTGATAGTTCTGACTATTAACCACCTTTTTTTAGAAATGGAAATGTCCCTATGACAAGCAAGATGCTGATGTCTTTTTAATGTGAATGAATTGATGACAAATTGGTAGCCTGCAGGAGGCTAAAGAAGTTTCTCTCATTTGGTAGGCCTTTTTATTAATATTGTAGAGACTTTCCAGACTCTAAACCTTACATAATGCATGCAAATCAAGAGCCATTCTTCCTACAAAGATATCAAAGATATCAGTAAGTGTACCACATGACTGAACTAAGCCATTGTCTGAGGGAGATGACTTCAGCTGCTGTTAGAGTCAGCACCTCAATGTGTAACCTTAGTACAGTGCTCTGGCAAAGGCTCTGTAAGGATTTGGTGTACGTATAACATAGGGAATATGAATAAGAACTAAAAAGATCAAGCTGCACTGATGTATAGTATTGATAAAGCTGAGGCTTAGATAGTTGTGTCCTCTTCTGATATTCACCATTCAAAAGGAGTATAAAAATACTAGGAAGGATTTACAGTCAAATCATTTGGTGAGTGAAGCAGTTTTACAATCTGAGGCCTAAGAAATCAGTTTGTTTTTTGTATTTTAATAAAAGAGGCTGTTGCACTCAACATTTTCATAATTCTTACAACTTTGCACAAGAAAATGAATATAATTTAACATAATGCTTTAGTGTTCCACTGGATGTGCTGTAGGAATTAGAAAGGTATGGTTTTCCCCAGCACTTAATGGCCAAATTACCGTAAGGGAAGGTGTGTTTCTTTTCGCTCTCCTTTGAAACACTGGAGTTTGAGCTCAGATTAACAGGATATCCAATATGACAAACAGTGCACTTCTTTGCTCCAGTTTTACCCCCGATTTCTGGGACGTAGGATTCCTGAAGTCCAGTCTTGCTGGTAAAGACTAAGCTGAAGAAGGCATTCAGTTCCTCTGCCTTTTCACTGACCTGTGTACCCAGCTCCCACAGTTCATTCAGTGAGCACACATTTTCGCTGCTACCAACTGTGACCCACAAGAATCTCACTGCCACTCAGTGAAGCAACCTAAAATCTATCAGTAGGTCTACCACTGGCAGGCCCCTACATCTTACATCTCCATCTGGGAGAAAGACTGTAAGAGATTTGATGCCTCTACGTCCTTCTAAGAGTATAAATCAAGCTTACTTCATAGGTAGAAATTATTTGCGGTTTTTGAGACAGTTGTGCTTGTGTTTTGTGCAAGCATCACTATGCAGTCAAATCTGGTTTCTTTCAGGCAAGTGACTTCCCTACTGTCTATGTGATAAAAGTCCTTCGTTTGGAGATGTCTGATTACTTCAGAATTTGTTCTCCCCGCTCTGTCCCAACAGCATGCTGTTCAGTTTTTCTTTCAGTATCAACTGCTGCCGTCAGTGATGATTTACAAACTTTTACAATTTGTGTAGATGTGCCATTCCGCCTTTTTTTTTTTTCCTCCATCCCAATCAGTCAAAATGGATTTCTTCTTGGCAAGTTATAAATATTGTGCAGTTGATTTCAGTCTAAGACTCAAGGACAAATGTCTTAACATTAATATATTGAAGTATAGAGCTATAAAGAGCACTATATGCATCTGATGATATCATCGTGATGCTCTGCATCAAAGCACAAAGTAGCCTGATTATTCCTTTGTCAAAAATAGTTATGCTTTCAAAGTTTTGAATCAAGCTGCCAATTCAACTCTTAATATTCTCCTTTAAGGAGTGCTAAAAATACTCATGAACGAGCCTTGCCATTTCAGAATATCAGATCATAGATGGGAAATACCATTGGGTGTCTTCAGTACACTTTTCAAGGTCTGATGATTTTCTGAAATTGATTTATTTATGGAAAACTACACCAGAATTTGGTAAGTACTGCATATCAGGGCTGCCTCGGTCAGCAGTCTCTGACAGACTTCAGATTCAGTGCCACAGCAGGTTGTCTCATGCCTTTAATTTTGGCTTCAATAGAAACCAGAGTTCACAAAATGTGAAATAGGATAGGATGTAACTCTGCTCATCTCCATCTGCCTAATTCCAGATTGTACTCACCCTGGTAATGGGTTCAGTGATAAGCAATTTTAAATCTCCCATTACATTGATCAGTCTCCCACCCAAACTTCACTTTTCTGCTTTTCACAGTGTCATTTAACTGCAAACTCAAATAAAAATAAAAACAAAATATTCCATCCTTGGGTAGCTACTGTGTTATTCGAAAGTAACCTGGAGGTCTAATAATGTCAAACTTGATTCTCTGCAATCAGTAAGCATCTAAAATTACTAACTACTAGAGCTGACTCTCAGTTTCAAACATCCACCTGTAATCCCATAATGCCTGAATTACTACAGTGAGAGTAAAAGAGACATTGAATTGTAGGTGATGTAATAATAAAGTAACAGTAAGTAATAGTAATTAGTGCTTCTTGCCTCCAAATGAAATTACCTTCCTATTACTGTAATTAAGTTACTTTGGTGTTAACGACTGATTTCAAAATAAATTATAACATGAACTCTTGTTTGGGTGGGGGGATTCTTTTGTAGAGAACTGACCAGTGGTGTTATGTCAGCTGAACTGAAGCCTCGCGCTGTTGAAAATGCATGTGAATTACAGCATCAGGTAGGCACTGTAGCTTGAAAAAAATACAGTAACAATGCCTCCCACCAATTCCTGACCTACTGTCAAGAGGATTTCACTGTATAGCATCCCCTTTAATTAACATGATGTAAAATAAGAAAGACTTTTCAAGAATAAATATAAAAGGAGGAAAGTTCACAGAATAGTCTTGATGCCCAAGTGTCCGAGATGAGTAAGGTGTGATAAGTTGTGGACTAGAAGGGAGCCACACTACTGGATCATCATGCTGATTTGTGCAATAGTTCTTGTAGTCATTATTCCCACTAGTAGTGAGCAGCCTCCCTCAAGTCTGTGATGAAGCTCATTTCTGGAAAGTTTCCTGGGTAAATTAAAATGTGTTGGTTTGTGATTTGTTTTTGTTTTTTACCAGGTCTCCCACTTTTTTGTTGGCTGCCCTCCAGGAAGGCACATTGCTGTTAAGATGTAAGTTTTAATCACTTGTTGTAATTCTAAGATGCCCTAAGACACCTTAGCATCTTGCACAGTGTAGATAGGATCACCGATTACCTATCTTACCCTCTGCAGCCACAGCAGCTCTACATGCTTACTGATCCATGCACAGTTAGAAATACAAAGGCTGTATGTGTTTCTTCTGTTCTAATTAGGATCACATTCCATGTTTTACAGATACGATGGTGATATTTGTGTTAGAAATGTTGAAGCAAATTTTGTATTATGGGAGATAAAAGGCAGAACTGATGATGGATACACTTCATCCATGAAAAAAGTAAGCCAACTACTGAGAATGCAATTGAAGTATTTTGTGCATAATGGTCTACATGGAAAATAGGACTGTTCTTACACATGTTGAGATTTCTTTAATCTGAATGGATGGATTTAGAAGTTTAACATTTTAAATTTATTTATAGATTTAACATTGTATTCAATATGAAAAATGAAGCATGTGGGAGTTATCAAAGCAATACACTGAAAGGAAGAAGAATCTGCATTTAGAATCTGATTTGGAAAATGCAGCTTAAAAAACTTGAAATTTCAGACCGTCTTCTCTCCATAGAGAAAATAAAACAATACTCACTAATTCACACTGTCTTGTCCAGAGAAATTCTGCCCAATCTCTTTATGAGTAAAGTGAGGACATTTCCTTCTTTTTCAGTAGAATGACAATCAATATTTAAGCCAAATCAAACCAAACACAGATGCTGTATATAAATCTACACAGATAATACAACCTTATAATGAATCTAGAGTAAGTAATGATTTTATTTTTGCTGATTGACTAGATTCCCATGCCAGGAACTCACAAGCGTTAGGAGTCTGAAAGAACATAAAGAGAACGTATAAACCATGACATATTGTTTTGTTTTGTAACCATCAAGCAGCCAAGCTGGATAGGAAAAGATAAAATACATATAGACATAGATTATATAACATATAATATCACAGAGCTACTGCTTTGTCCTGTCTGCATGAGATTTTCTTGTCTGGAATTCAGCCATAATTATGAAGCATCTTTGTCACCCTTTCTGATCAAGGAAAATATCTTCTGAAGCATCAGATGGAAATTCGGAGGCATTTCCAAGTTTGCTCGCTTTTTACATTCCGTCTTTTCTGTGTAGTAGCAGACAAGGTCTGTATAGTAGAGGCTGAATAAGATAAACTGAGTGCAGACTGACCACAATAAGATCAGCAAATTCCCTAAGGTGATGACCTTAGGAGAAATACAGTTCCTTTAAGAACTGACATTTGTGTTTGGGAAGTTATTGGCAGTTTCTTAATAGTGCTGTGAAGGGACTGAATTAGATCATTTATGTTCATAGGACACCTAATTTGTACGTTTACACAACAGAATCCGTTTATCATTTTTAGCCACTGCCCACAAATTAAAAAGCAAAAAAAGAAAGAATGACTAAATCAGTCTTTGTGTTGAATTGCTTTTCAGAGCTAGTTCAGCAATAACTTGTTGTTGTTGTTCAGAATTACAGATCCTGTTTTGAGCTTGAGAACAGTTCAAAGGAAGGACTGAATGAGCAGTATCAGATTTTAAACAGCACTTCTCAAAACCACATGGCTCGGCCTTTTAGTCATGATGCCACTTACGTGTTCAGAGTGAGGATATTAACTCGAAACTACAGGTTATTGTCTTTTTTAATGTTTAAAAAAAAAGTGTGATGGTGTCGGATCAAAATGGAAAAAAATGTGGACGGTTTATATTTTAAAAATATTTTTGCTCAGCAATTCCTTTGGCTCAGGTGTTTCCAATGTTTCCACTTCAACCTAGTTCTAACTCAGAAATTATTCAGGCGTCATTCTTGAAATCCATGACTTTTCCATTTTCTGGACTAGTCTACAAAATAAACACCTGCTACATAATCTGAAAACAATGAGGAAGTTACAAGAAAAAGAACAATACTATTTGTAAATAAACATAGGTGAGCTGAGAATCTTTAGAAATATCCAAGAATCATAGAATTGCTTGAGTTAGAAGGGACCCTTCAAAGCCACCCAGTCCAACCCCCCTGCAATGAACAGGGACACCTACAGCTACATCAGGTTGCTCAGAGCCTGACCCTGCCTTTGCTTCAATGATGAAAACAGCCCAACAGCTTTTCTTATCTATTTCAGCTTTTGGGATTTAAAAACAGTCTTTGCAGTCCATACATATGGTGTAACAGAAAGATAACAGCTAGTGGATATTTTTAATGGATTTTTATTTAATATATTAGATCCTCCTTTTGGTCTTCCTTTTTTGCTTTTTTTTTTTTGTTGTTGTTTGTTTGTTTTTGTTGTTGGGTTTTTGTTGTTGTTGTTGTTTGAAATATACTTGATAGTACAAAAACAAGAAGGCAAGATACTGTGTTCTTTCTCTGTACAGATGATTCATAGATAAAGACAGAAGTTATCTGCACATTTTTAAAGATTTTGCTTCTTCAGAACCTCTGCTTGAAAGCAAGCAGGGTGTTTTTCAGCTTGTGAGGCCTCACCTGCTTTAACTCCATGTTCATGTGAGACCCAGAAAGCCAGATGCTTCCCTTGTGACTGTTTACATTCAGTTTGTGCCACTTGCACCTATCCTGCAGAAATCCTATTTCCACGGCCCCCTGCTGACAATAAAGGATTTCCACGGATGGAAATGAAAATCAAATTTGAACATTATCCCATCTGCACTTCTCCAGCACACCAGACACTTGAGAGAATTGCTTGGCCATGTTAACAAACTAATTTAACTATGTAAGAAGTGTTTAGAGAGAATCCTTTTATCCCAGCCTGCAGGCTGAAAGTAAACAATGGATAACACCTGCTTCACACTGCAATCCTTGTGGTGTTTTACCTTCTGTTTCTGTATAAAAGATAGCTGGAGTTGGTGATGTTTTTAAACCAAATGAACTTTTAACTGCTCCAGTGCTTTTACTTAAGGCTTTATTTGTGACTCTTAATCAAAGGAATCTTGCCACTTGTTGGAAGAAGCAACTCACTGTGGTACATGCCTATTGAATTTGGAATCATGACCATATGGATTAGAAGAAATACCTAATGATTAACCAGATGAATACTGTCTTAAGTTACTGTACCAAGTGACTGTACTGCTATGATGAAATCTGAGCTATTCTTCACTTACTATTGACAGGAATCTAAAAAAATGATTATATTTTTATTTGCATTCCAGGTCAGATGTTTCTATGGCTAAGTTTTATTCCTTCATCACACTCAGCACCTTGTTGGTCTGTGCCACCTTCTGCTACAGATACAGCCTCACTTGGAAGTCTGAAACACTGGGCAGAAGACCTAAAGGCCAGTATCTCACTGATACACTAACAAAGTAAAACTTTAAATAGGATGGTGTTTGGGACAAGTGATACACTGTTTATTAACAGATGGTTTTGCAAGTACTTCTTATATCTCTATAATACTATTTAATGCATTTAGTTTCATATACAGAGGGCATGCCAGTCAACGCGTCAGAGCTCCTATAGGAGCAGAGCTCTGGTGTGGCTAACAGTTTTTAAAAGACATTTTCCAAGCCAAGCTAAGTTAAGCTGCAGCTGTGAGCCTCATGCTTGAGTTGGCTTCACATTATGATTTTCACTGACTCAACTATGGTATCAGCATAATTTTTCAGTGTGAAATCTGATAAAACAATGCAGGCAAAGTTTCTGCTCTGTCAAAGGGCTGCAGCCAATCAAGTTCTGAAAGTGCTCAGCACAGTCCACAGAGGGAATATTGTGTGTTTCTGACGATGTCTTTTGATGCTACATGTTTTACTTCTGCTGACAAATGTTAATTCTATCTTAAAAGTATGTATTTGATCATACTTCCTCTCAAGCTTATTCACTTCTTCAGTAATAAATGTTTGTTATATTATTGTTGTAAAAGTTATAGTTGGTTGCAGTAGTTACATTTGTTATATCAATAAGCAGTCATGCTTGCATCTATTTTTAACACCATCTGAAGCTGTTAAAAGTGTCAGGCTTCCAGCCTGAATTTTCTTATCATCAAATGAACATACCTTGCAAAGCTTATGCTCTTAATGGCAATTGTTTCATTTCTCCAAAACAAGTTAACAAAACTCTATTGATAAATAAATGTTGAAATTCTTACAATTGCTCTCAACATTCATCATTTGCAAAAATTTTCATAAAGATTATAAAATCTATAGAAATCTAGCTTGAATATGAGCACATTTTAAAATAGTTACTGATTCATTTTGTGTGACTCATACCCTGTGTATCTCAGTACAGTTTGCACCAAGATGGAAATCAGAAAAAAAAATAAGTGATCAGCTTAGAAGTTTCACCTCCAGTGACAGCCTGTTCCTACTGAAGCCCACCTTCCTTTAGGCAGGACAGCCCCCTGGGCTGAAGCATAGGTGGAAGCCCCCCCAGTTCCTTCTGCAGTATCTACACATCTGTGTTCCACCTTCCCTTCACATACATCCCATGCATACAGCTTCGTAGCAACACCCATGTGAGGCACTCTGCATTTCTCTGGCCACCATAGTGTTCTCTCAGCTCTCTGCTACAGCTGAAATTTGCTGCTTCTCTACTCTTCACTGTTTCTACACCTGTGAAAACTAAGTAGACAACAGCATTTCCCACAGAGACAAAAAATCAGACCGGTCTTTAAACTGATCTCTCCATACAAGCTTAGTAAAACGTTATGGCGTTGTCACAGTCCGAAAGACTAGTGCAGTGGAGGCAATACAGGAGTGGCATGACAAAAGGACAAACAGGAAAGGAATGCTCATCTGTCTCCAAGGATCTAGGCTCATGGGGAAGAACTCCACAAGGAAGGGATCTCCAATCAGAGATCCTTTGCTAGTAGCAGTCAGCCCTTAAATGAGGTCTAACAGAGATGCAGCCAGGCTCCACCCCTTGTGGTCACACAGCTGATTTGCCTTCACCTGTGCTCCCAGGGCTGACCAGGTCCTTTCCCCAGGTGCTCAATCAGTGGTTCAGGCCATGACTGAATAGCTACCATGCAGCCATAAAATAAATGTAGTATAGTTTCATAGTCAGACAACAATTCAGGGTTTTGTTTTTCTTGAAGGAGGTTTTCTGTGTTCCTGTTCAGGGCCCAAGTACCTTTCAGTGTTACAAGGCAGAAGTCCCTGAGTTCACACGTTACAGTTCTGAGGTAACAGTGCCCACTACTGATCACTACCCCCTTACACTGACCTTGAATGAAGACAGGTAAGGTCAAGCTGGATGGGGATCGGAGCACCCTGATCTAGATGTGGATGTCCCTGTTCACTGCAGGAGAGTTGGACTAGATGACCTTTAAGAGTCCCTTCCAACTCAAATGACCTTACGAACATAAGATGCTGAGCAGAGAAGCTGTACCTTAGAAGAGACTTACCCTGAGCACCCTGTGCTACATGCCGAGCCCGGCCCCTCAGCTGCCTAAGTAGCCTACTGCTGGCACGGAAAGATGCTGGCCTGACTCCTCCCCAGCTCTTTCTCATCACCTTCCAAACTGCAGCCACCGAGGAACAGAGGTTATCGGCAAGGAACGAAGAGGAGCCCGTGAGTTCAAGAACTTCGGTTGTCACAGTTTTCAGACAAGGTTTCGACTGCTGCTGTTTTAATTTTCCTCAGCACCCCGATACGGAAGCGGCTTCTGCCTACCAAACCTCTGGTTTGTAGCTACCAGCCCGGTACCAGCCGCCAGCCGGAGGAGCAGACGGAGCGCACGGCCCTGAGCAGTCAGTCAGGGGCCGCACTGGCCGACAGCTCGGCAGGCACCGCGAGCCGTTACCGCCAGCAGTCTTCGCAGCCCGGACAGCCCCGATGGCTACACACCGGCACAGCCCGTCCCGCCGTAGCCGCTCACGGCACGGCGCGCCCCGCCTACGCGGAACCGCGGAACGACGTGAGGCGGGCGGCGCCGGGCAGGCCGGGAGCCGCGCCGCACGCCGGGAGCTGTAGTCGCCGCCGTCCCGCTCCTGGCGGAAGGTGGGGGCGGGCTCGAGCGGCTCCATTTTGCGCCCATCCGAGGGGCTCCCGGCCTGCCTGGCGCCGGCGGTACCGAGGCCGCCCGGGAGCCACCGTTCGCGCTCTCCCCGTCTTCTCCCGCTGCCGCCGTCGGGGCGGGGCCCGCTCCCCGCCTCCCGGCCCCCGCCGCCGGCCGCGGGCTGAGCGCTCCTCCCGCGGGCCGGGCCCCGTTCCTCTGCGGCGGCGGCTCCATGGTGCCCGCCGCCCCCCCCCGCCCCGCAGCAACAGGCGGGACGAGGAGGAAGCGGCCCCCGGGGGTGCCCACCGCCCCGCCGCCGGCCTGAGCCTCGCCGCCCCACTGGAGCAGCCAGCGGGCTCGGGGCGCCCGCGGGCCGCCGGCGATGGCGAACCAGCTGGTGATCCTCAACGTGTACGACATGGTGAGCGTCCGCGGGCAGGGGCCGGGAGGCGGGCGGGAGGGGGGCTCGGCGGGCGGCGCGGCCCCGGGCCTGCGGGACCGGGAACTTTCCCTTTCTCCTTCCCTCCCTCCGCCCCACGCGGGGCTCTATGCGGGGGTGACGCGTCGCTTCTGCTCGGCAGCGAAAGTTTGGCGTGCGGCTGGGTCGCAGCTTGCGGGGTCCGCAGCCTGCAGAGGGGCTCCTCCCCCCCTCCCTCTCCCTGCTGTAGCCGCAGTAGGAGCAAAGCGTGAATTTGTGCGTGGAGTTCGTCCTCGTCCTTCAGAAGGTTCCTGCTCCGCACGTGTCGCTGCGCAGGGTGCTGGCTGGGGGTAACCGCTGTCTTTGGAAAGTTGGAAGTTTCTGAGTGCTGTGTCGGTATTTTTGTATTGCTGTGGCATGGCGACGCTTGGCAGGAATAAAGGAATTGCCTCATCCCGATCTGCGATGCTGTGAGCTCACCTTGGCTTCCCGTGTGATGCCTGGCTGACACCTCCAGCAGCTGTTGGGTTGCCCTGCATGCAGCTGGAAGCTGCTCAGCTGCCATAGTAACAAATGAGGCAGAAGCACCTGTATGGTACAGCCACGGGATAAGTAATATTAGGGAAATATTATCCCTTAATGCGCTTCGGTAGCTGGAAATTAGATCAAGTGCTACTGGTTGTCCTCTGAGCACTGTTGGGCCTGTGGTGAGGGGCAGGGAGGCTTCACAACAGCATTGGGAACTGTGTGGGTCAAGCTGTCCTTGAACCACCACCAGTTTTGAAGTGAACTTCTGGTGCTTTGGGTGGATGGAGGAGCACAGTGTAGGTCTCATTGCTGGCAGAGAAGTGCATCGTCTTGCTTGAAAGTATTGTACTCATGTGCTTGAGTATTTGCTAGCAGTTGATAGAGGGCTGTCCTGCTTGGACTTAGTTATGCATCTGATTGTTGCCATTGGTTTTTGTGGTAGGTATCGGACGGAAAGAAAACAGGGTCCCTGTCAAAGGATTCCCTTCCACTTCCTGTACTTGGGTTCTGTTGCCAGTGAATGCAACCTGTTACATTTGCGTTGGGTTTCCTTTGCCGGAGCAGGGGTGGTTAATGGGAATGGGAGCAGTGTGTTTGCTGAGAGAGGCACAGGAACAGGGGCCCTGCTCACCTGGCCGAGGACATACATGGGGCCTGTGAGGTGCTGTCAGTGTGTTATGGTAGACCCAAGTGGGAAGGATGTGATATAGTGGGCTTCTTTGGACTGCAACTGAAAAATGTGTGTGGGAGAAGCTCTTGTAGTCTTAAAAGAGCTGGTTTTGTGTGCATTAGTTATTAGTACTATATAAAGTATAAAGAAACAGGACTTTAGTTCCAAGGCTGTTACGCAAGCAATTACCCGTGAAGTCAAAGGCATGGCATGCCTCTGATGTGGGAGGTGAGCGACCTTGACTGTGAGAGCCATCTTGGGGAAGCTGCAAGGAGCCACAGGCAGCAGCAGGAGGGCTGTGCTTTCCCTTGGGATGTGCCAGGGCTCAGTAGCTGTGTCTCTGTGTCGAGGAGAAGGAGAGTCTGTAGGCCCACCGCCTGTGGAAAGAGCTCGTTCTCCAAAACAAGCAGGCCAGCAAAGCTACCTGTGGGTGTTTGGTCAGATCGGGGTGCTGGTTGTGTGCTTATCTGCTGAAGCTGAACATCACCACAAATTATACATAGCACGAGCTGAGACCACTAACTGGGGTGTTTATTTATCCCACCTCAGCTATGGCTGTTTTATAATCGCATCTGTGTTATTTGACCGCTAAAGAAGCAGATTTCTTCTAAACAGGAAAGAAAAGCTGAGGACGCCATAGTATCTGAGGGACACCGTCAGCATGCAGCCTTGAACTCTCTCTCAGAATGGTCACTCAGTCTGTTTTATTCTTGCTTGGAGCAGGCACTTCAGTGAAGCCTGGCTTCATGGGCAGTGTTAGTGCTACCACTCTGAGAGCCTGCTGAAAGCAGTGGCATGGAGAGGGAAGTGTGGCTGTTTTGGGGTTGTGTGTGTTCATCAGGTGCCTCCAGTTGTGTACCAAGGCACTCAGG